CAGTAGTTTCCGAGATACCCATAGAGAACATCGTAGGAAACTCATCCTGTATATATAGATCTATTTTAGTATAAAAACACACTCCTTTAACCGTCTTAAGTTTAATTAGAAATAACGAGAACTAAATCTTATACAATTACACCTTTTATATAGTCTGTCAAACGACAAAATCCTTGACAGTGATAGATGTGTCTGTCATTTTAAATTCAAAGTAGTTTATTTTATTTTAGAAAGAAATAAGTTGGTACAATTGGAACGCATAATTAATATATTTAAATGTTGAGTGACAAGTGATTACTTTAAAATATTGTGAAAAAAAACTGTATAAAACTGAAAAAAATATAATCTTGGTAAATTAACTTTAATCTTAATTTTTTCTGCTAGTACTAAACTGTATTATTTACCTATCGTGTGATGTTATTTTACAGATACTCAAGTTTTTGGTACCATATACGAGATGGTATACAACTTTATTTGTGGCTAATACAACTCTCTGGCCATAGTCTCTGGTAAACTGTGTTTTTGGCGGTCTCTGGGCACCGAATATTAACTGTAAACTATGGTCTGGGTCAACACTTAATTTTCCCTCGAGTTTTCCTCCACTTAATTTTAAAAAACACGAAACACAAGTAACGACACAGTCCAAAATGCAAAATGCCAAATATTTATCATTTCTATTTGACACAAAATTATAACCTATCATTTGGCAATAGTTTGACAACTCTCAAATATCTTAAGCCGAGTTCATACGCATCGGAGTCCGTTTGCCGTTCATCGTTGCGTCAAACCAATAGTATTGAAATATGATCTGTCATTTTTGAAATAGACCAATAAAACTGGTTAAAAACAACAAGAGACGACGCATGACGTATTTACTTATAAACCCATCCACAGTTACCTTAAAAAATATTAGAAACTTTTTTAGTGAAATAAATGGATTGGTATTGAAGTCATCTGCTTTTTTTCTGTCATCGTCTGTCGAAATCTTACCTGAGAAAAAAAAACAGAGTATTACACCTTATTACACCACAATTACACTTTTTCATTTGGAAGCACAGTTCATTTGGACGCGACAGTACAGCTAATGTTTTGCTTCCTTTGGTTACAGTTTTATCAATGTGTTCCCCAAATTTTATCTAGGTGTAAAGCCAGTACCACCTAAGTACCTTATGGTTTTGCTGTGCTTAATTTCTAAATCTTCAAGGTTAAAATATATTTCAGATATTTTCCTTTTGGTTTTCAACAAAATCGCCTCCGTCTTGTATGGGGATAATTGAAGATTTTTTCATCCAATTTAAAACTCTAATCATACTAGTATTGGCAGTGTTCATTAGTGCCTCTTCAGTTTTTGCAACTACCACCATTACAAAGTCGTCCTCAAATCCAATTAATTAGTTTGGTACCCTCAGCCATTTTTAATTCAAGTAAATCGTCTATTTTCTAATTAAAATTACGTAGAGTGTATATAATAATAATAATATAATAGCCCCCGTATAAACGCCTTGGGAGTAGCAAGGTACAGCTTGCCATTCTAGAGCCGTTCGGTATACAAGGAAGGTATACCTATTATTACCTCAAGAATGTATATCCCAAGTACTCATTTAAGGCTGAGTCGACCTAGGTACCCAAACTATTTTTATTTTAATAAAAATAGTCGGCTGATGAAATGCCGGGTCTGGGATTCGAACCCACTACCTTTAGATTGGTAGACGAGAGCCTGTACCTCTACGCCACCGGGCACCGCATACATAGAGTGTATACAAGGTTGTTCACCACATACGACATAGAGTATTGTAGCTAAACGATTAGATTTTTACAAATTGTAAGTTTTGGGTTCGTTGAAGGACTATTAGAGCTACAATTTAAAAATATTTTTACCAGATACAGAGTGTCCCAAATAAATAAAAAATATCAAAGTTGTATTTTTTTAAATGGAACACCCTGTATATTATTGCATTTTTAGTTTCTACGATTAAAATAAAGGTAAATTTGATTAAGGTTTATTACACTTAAACCTTACCGTTTTTTAAATATTTTCAATTTTGTAAAATTGCATTATAAATTTTAAGGCTTCATTTCTCCGAGGGTATCAAAGATTTTAATACTAAATATTTACTGAAGTTTATTTATTGATCAGTTATTGTGTTGCAATAATAAAAATTATACTACTTTATACAGAGTGTCTAAAAATTTATTTTAAATAATTACTAGCTTTAAACGGCAATAACTTGTTTAATTTAAATGGAATACCCTGTATATTTTATGAGAATCAGATGCACAATTTAATTGTTTATCAAATTGTATTATATAACTTTTTACCTATCCCTTCAAGTTTTCGTAGAAAATGCATTTTCTTATAATTTAGACCTCATTTATCAATATACCCATGGAATATTATGGCATTTTAGATTGTTTTTAAAACAACAAATGTACGAAATGTACAGGCTAGTAATATTATCGTTTTTAGTAAAACGATGATATTACTAGCCTATTTGTATGCAAAAAGAAAACTATTTAAATATTTATAAAAGAGTATACCATTATTTATATATACCATCCGTATTTCCGCCCATATACTGATTAATTATATACTTAATTGTGTTCGTTAATAAATTATTCTAAATAAATGTGGATTTGAATCAGAAATCATTATAATAATAAGTTATGAAAATAAACGTCTTTGTTGTTTTAAATAAGCATTTGTCAAAAAATGAAATATCATTTTTAAGGTTTTTTTACCACACTGTCTAATACACATAAATAATTCAGTTTTTTAGTATTTGGAGCAATTATTATTAATCAACGCAGACAGTCAATTAATGTAGTTTGAATACTGGAATCATATTAACTGGTCCACTTTAACAAATATTTAAACAGTTTTTTTATTTTTTTAATGAAATAAACGAACTATATTGACAATATTAGTATCTGTACTTTTTAAACATTTGGTACATCTTTAAAAATAATCTAAAATGTCAGTATTCCATGGGTATATTGATAAATGAGTTCTAAATTACAAGAAAATGATTTTTCTACGAAAGCTTGAAGAGATTAATAAATAAACTTCAGTAAATATTTAGTATTAAAAACTTTGACACCCTCGGAGAAATGAAGCCTTAAAATAATTTATACTGCAATTTCACAAAATTGAAAATATTTCAAAAACGGTAAGGTTTAAGTGTAATAAACCTTAATCAAATTTACCTTTATTTTAATCGTAGAAACTAAAAATGTAATAATATACAGGGTGTTCCATTTAAAAAAATATAACTTTGATATTTTTTATTTATTTAGGACACTCTGTAACTTGTAAAAATATTTTTAAATTGTAGTTCTAATAGTCCTTCACCGAACTCAAAACTTACAATTTGTAAAAATCTAATCGTTTAGCTACAATATTCCGTGTCGCATGTGGTGAACAACCCTATATAAATGTACAGGGTGGGTCAAATTCGACGCTTTTAAATGGAAACACCCCTTTCTATAGGAGATAGACGAAAACTGATATCGGTGTCTGGAGCTCAATTTTCATCAAAAACATGACGGTGAAAACCGCACAAAACTATCTGTTACCGTTTCGGAGTTACGGGGTGTTTTTCAAAAATGTGCATTTTTAACAAATCGCTGTAATTTTTTGATATGGAAAATTTTGTATTTTTATGAAAACATTTCGAAAGCACCATTTTACGTAGAATTTAATGGTTTAAGTATATTTTGTTTAAAATTAAGAATTTAAAAATTATCAAAAGGAAATTTGATTTTTTATATGGGACACCCTGTCTATTTTTAATGTATTGAAAAGAATTTAAAATTACCTTTCCAAAAATATAGCACACCTGATATTTTGTTATAATTCCCTTGGAAATACGGAATTTTTAAAAGTTCGCCACTTTTAACTAGTAGGCTTTGGACCCTTTATTGATGATATGCCCTCTTAATGGAACTCGAAAACATATTTTTCCAGCAAGACGACGCACCGCCTCTGAACGCTGAAGTTATCAGCAAATTTTTGCACCCAATTTCAAGAATAATTGGATAGCTAACCAAGATCCCAGCCGTTGGCCGTTGAGGACGCCTGTCTTAGTGTCCATGGATCTAATCCTATGGATATATTTGTGGAAGAATAAAGGTTCCTTATTCTTCTTTATAATCTACACAAGAATTAAAAATACTTAGCAGTTATGAGAGGTTATCTTTCACCCCCACTGAGTTAATGAATTCCGCGAGAAATGTCCAAAAACTGCCCGGTCTGTCCATAACAGAAGACGGTCGATATGTCGAACACCTGTAGCAAAATCTCATGTCTGGGTTTGCTATTTATTTTTATTGGTATTAGATATAGTTTAAATGTGTTGTTGTTGGTTAAATATATTTTAAATTGCACAATTTAAAATTCTGTATCTCTCATAGCAAATATTATTTTCCTTTTAATTGATGCTCACAGCTAGAATTTTTTTTGCATTGCAGCCGGTGCCGTTCAAAGCCTACTTATTTAAAGCGGGCGAATTTTTATATACTCTATATCTCGAAGAGGAATCGAGCAAAATATCAAGAGTGTTATATTTTTGGAAATGTAATTTTAAATTCTTTTCAATACATTAAAAATATACAAGGTGTCCCATATAAAAAATCAAATTTTCTGTTGATAATTTTTTAAATTCTTAATTTTAAAAAAAAATATACTTAAACCATTAAATTCTACGTAAAGGTGCTTTGGAAATGTTTTCATAAAAATAGAAAATTTTCCATAGCAAAAAAGTTAGAGCGATTTGTTAAAAATGCATATTTTTGAAAAACACCCCGTAACTCCTAAACGATAACAGATATCGATATGCGGTTTTCACCATCATGTTTTTGACAAAAATTGAGCTCCAGACACCGATATTAGTTTTTGTCTATCTCCTATAGAAAAGGGTGTTTCCATTTAAAAGCGTCGAATTTGACCCACCCTGTACACATAGAGTGTATATAAATGTTGAAATAAATTATGCTATTACCCTTGATTATGTATAAATAGATGTACAATGAGGGCTTAGTACAAGCCCGTCTTCTAGATGGCGCCTTGCCCGTTCTGCATTTTTGTATTCCCCTACGATTTTCTTTGAGGGGAATCCGTTAAACCCGCCCATCGTTCAAAAATGGAAGGGCGCGAGGTCACATCTATTGGGCTACTTATTAGCACGTTTCACGCATGTTTTACGAAAATAGCTTTATCCTTGTTTGTTTCAACTGTGACAAGAAAAAAGGAAAAAAAAGTCATATTCGTTTCTAAATTCGGCAGTTTTGTTTATCTTTCTCGACTTCTGATTTCGTTTCGTTTAGGTTATGTCTTAAAAAATAATTATTTATAATCTTTTGAGTTGAAATATACCTTAATGCATATCTAAATAATTAAAAAATCAATTTTTTCGTCCCTCGCGAAGAAACGAAACAGTATTTTTGAATATTTGGATTACAAACTATTATTTTATGAGTTTTATGTGTTGTGTTTACGTGATGTGTAATGTGTATTTTGTACCTGTTGGATAATATTTTGAAACATATTTAATTAAACAAAAAGCATCTGTATTACAGGTGAGTAAATACTTTCATATTTATTTCTAAATTCATATAAATTTGTTTTAAATCACTCTTGGTTTTAGAGTTTTATCTTAGAGTTTTACCTCATAGAGAGTCTGAGATAAGTTTAATAATAAACATTAAATTTGATAGATTGATAGATAGATTAAACGATAATGGCCAGTTGACTTAAAAATTTAAAAAATACTGATTTTATGCTATAAATTATGTTTCATTTCTTACTTTGCTTTTTTGGAACTGTCAGATATATTGTGTATTTTATAATTTTTCTTAATTAATAACGTAAAATATTGTTTATCTACACTCAACCCTGTGTTTAGATAAAGCTTCATATCAGATTTCCTATTTTATATTTTCACTCAAATCATATTTTTGTAAAATAGGTATGCTTGCATGCAAAAGTAGCGTAAATTTGACAGGGAGGTATTTTTATAGATATACAGGATGATTCGTAGATTTAAATACATATTTACTTTAGAGTTGTATAGTTTGTCAAAAGAAAAGCTATATTTTTTATTTTTTCTTGGTGAATTTGTCAAAAAATTGTCATTCCAGAAAATACTATAATGTCGTAATCGTATAGAGTTCATTTTGACCATTTTTGGATTAAATTTTTTTGTTTATATAATAAAATATATATTTAAAGCCCTTTCTAAGTTAAAAATAAGTAATATGGAAGTTTTTTACTGGAACTAATTTAAGGTAATGTTCTCTTCATATAATTATATAAAAATATGCTAAATTCCTAAATTATTTATATGATTAAATTTTCTTTATATTATTTTTTTTGTATTATATACAGGATGAGTCAAAACTATATATTATATTTTTCTTTGCTATTTCAAATGGAACACTGTATTTTATATCATAAATCAACAAATCTTTTATCCAACTTTTGTTTTGTTAAGATCTATATCCCAGATTAATAGTTATTGGATTGTTCTCAATAATTGTCTCTTTGAGAATAAACATGATTTGTTTTTCGCAATTTTTATTAGTAGGTTTGTCGTTAAAAGTGATGTATCTACATATTTATCAGCGACAAAAATTAAGAATTAGATGTCTAAAATAATTTCCTAATTATTTTTTTACTTAGCGTATCAGTAAATATTATTTATTTTATCGCTGCAGCTGAAAATAATTATGTATTCCAAAACAGGACATTACTGTATAAATATCGATTATTTGGATTTAAAAATTATTTTTCAAAACAAAGTTGGAAAAAACTACGTTTATGTCATAAAATGTGGAGTTCTCTTTGAAATAATCGAGAAAAACCCAACATCTAGTTTTGACGCCACCAGTATATATCATGCATTATAGTTCATTATACTGCAATTTATTATACATACGTAGTTTTGTTTGGTGAAAATGAAACTTTCTAAAAGTATTCCCAATTAAAACATATTAAGAATTTCCTACATTATAATTTTGAAAGACGTTTGAGTGGGCAGACAATTTGGTCTAAAATAATCATATGTCTAAAAAATTTAGTCTAAAATAATCAAAAACCACTTAACACATATAACTCGCTTTTAAAAAATCTAAAAGAAATAAGTTTGTTTATTATATTCATATTTTATTAAATTATTATAGGTGTGACTGCTAAGTGGTCGTACTCGCCACTTTAACCAACCATTGGTGGGACCATGGTAGGACCTTCAGAGATTATAATGCGAATTTTTCATACCATGTAAATCTATATACATATATTAATAAATGCGTTTGTTTTATTAAATTTGTTTTCTTATACGGTATGAGCGAAAAAAAACGGCGTCTATTTGTTTACGTACAAATATATGACATCGATATTCATTTCCAAGCCACCTCTGACGCCGTTTTTTTTATCGTATGGTATACACTTACATATCCCTTATCCTTTAAATCCGATTTATTTCTAATAATTATAAAAATAAGATACCTGATTGATTCTTCCGAAATATTATAAAATGAGATATCAGGAAATAAATAAAGTTACTTATCTCGTTTGTTTTGGGAATTCAAAAAAAAGGGTATAGAGAATCTTAAGAGACACAGTTCAAATATTATTTTTGAGTATATGGGTGCTTTCAAAAAATGTGGCGGATATAATGTAACATGTTTTTTAATGCAAAACTCTTATTTATAACCTTTATTTTATTTTCGATTCTGCCTAAAATTCTATAACTTTTTTTTATAAATAACGTTAGTATTTGCAAAAAAAATTAATCCTATGTTACATAATTGTCAGTTGTTTCCGAAGTTGGGCTACACAAATTTGGTAGGAGTGTTTTAGAGAGGTGAAGAAAAAGATATATGTAAAAATACTTGGAGTTAGATGCTACACTGTGTTCAAACAGTTTTTTTTGGCTGATCCTATATATTATTATTTTTTCTAGTGATTTTACAAAACCTTTCAACATTTGTTAAGAAAGTATATTAAGTACATCTATACTCTATACAGCTTGCAATCTGTTCTGAATTTTTCAATTTTTATCCTTCTTTTACTTCATTTACACTAGGTATAACAAGTTTTGCCATGACAAAACAAAAATTATTTATTATTAAGCATTAAAGTAATTTATATAGTTATATGACATTATTAATAGAAATTGAAGAATTATGTAAAATCTATCAGAAAAAATATAATATACCGGGTGTTTTTCAAAAGTGGCTTGATTGACGTATTCAATTAGTTTCGGTTATTTCTTGTTTCACCGGAAATGACTACAACTTGGTTTTTAAATGGTACCGTCGGTATTTTTTTACTTTATTTGACAGAATATGGCATTGTGAATAGAATAATTTAATGTCAACTTTTGACATATTTACTTAAAAAATTGTATTTTAAATTACAATCTAGAGTGCCATGATAAAAAACAACATGTAACCGGTCGTAAAGGTAACGACAGTTTGACTCGATATACGAAGTGTGTGGTACCAAATTACCTATTTACCAGGTACCAAAAAGGAAAAGACACAAAAAATATTAGACGATCAAATCAATTTTTCCGAAGCTCCTTGATTAAAAATTAATGGTTTTAACACAGCCATGACACTAGATTGAATTTTAAAATGCTATTTTTTTTAATTGAAAATGTCAAAAGTTGACATATGATATATGTCATTCTATTCAGAATGTCATTTTCTATCAAATAAAGTATAAAAAATACCGAGGGTACCATTTAAAAATCAAATGTTGTACTCGTATACATTTCCGGTGAAACAGGAAGTGACCGAAACTAACGGAATACGAATCAATCTCGATTTATGTCATATACTTACCTACTAACATTCCGAATTTGGTAAACCCTGAATTTAATTTTTTTATCTGAAAAAATAAAAAGTTATAGGAGGTGAATCGCTTTTGAAAAAACACTCAGTATAGGCTGCGTCATTGAAAGAATCTGCAGATATTTTTCTATTTTAAATACGTAGTCGAATTTCAAAAACATATATTAAACACCCTGTAGCTCTACCTTAAATATCTACATATAAATATCTAATATTTTTTCTTCATCAACAAATTGAAATATTATAAAACTAGTTTTAGGTTACACCATTATACAAGAAATATACGTAAAAAAAGTAATAGAATTTTACGCAGAATCTAAAATAAAATAGGATGTTACATTTAAAAAAAAACATTATGTTAAATCACACTTTTTACAAAGTTACAGACGTAGGTAGGTATAGTTTCATATTATATTCTTTAATTATCCATCTAAAAATAAAATATTTATATACCTAATATAATACTTTAGTATCCAACAAGTGGCCATGAAAATCAAAATAAATATAATCCATGTCCAAAAATAAAAAATGTAAATAACGCTTTGAGGTATAAATTCGGTTCGAATCAGATAAGATATTTTATTCTTTACCGAGAATTAAATTCGAAGAATTCCTAGTCCCTACTTCTTTGCCAAATTCAATAGTCTCCGCCCCTTTTTACGTTTTAATTTCTGCCACCAGTTGGCAGCATCGACTTATACAGGCACATTGACTAACTATTAATATATAAACAAGGCTATTACTTAGATTTGAGTGATATTATTGTAAATCTAGATTGGGCGCGCTTCAAAAATTGTTACTTGTGCATCGTGCGATGGTTTCTAGACTAGAATAACAATTTTCTGGACTAAATAGACATTGCAAACTTTATACTATTTAGTAATTTATTATGAATCGTAAACTAGTCAGTTATGAAATTTTATTTACCTCTGCTTTATTTCCTTTCCAGTTTAATTTTTCACCACTAGTTTTAAATCTGTAAAGATAAAAGTGTCAAAATATATTTAGATTTAGACCGATAAAGGATTCAAAAACAATACATTTGCCGAGTTTCCGAATGCTACTGCCATTGTAAAACAAAAGACTGTAAAAGTTGGCTTTGTAACTGCGAAAAATCAGTTTAAAACCATTGCCCCCCGGGTAGCTAACAATAAAAGGCACTCAGGATTTTGAATACGTTCGAAAACTTTAAAGCACAATACAAAATATAGAGTTAACCTACTAAGTGAGCTGGATGATTTGCGGTTTCAAGGGAAGTTGAAGCTGTCATTTTAGTTTGGACAGTTAATAGCTGGAAATTATTAGATAGTTAATTCATAATTAAATTATAAGTGTATTATCTGAGAACGTAGATGAATAGAAACGCAATTTATAATTTAATTATAAAGAAATATTTTTCTAAAACCATTTCCTGATTTAATTTTACAAGCCAAACTCTGTTTAAAATTGAAAATGATGATAGTTTTTTGACAGAAGCCATATTTTTTCTTCTGATAAGAGTTTCTTTAGTGGTGAAAGCATAGAAAGTTTGGTTGATTTGGTAATTCAGTTGTCATGCACTAAGCAAAATCTTAACTTACATTTTTAATTTGTCAGATTTATAGTTAAAACTGTGTGGCGCGTCGTAAGCAAAATTATTCATTTTGAATAAATACATTTTTTGGAAATAGATTTTTAAGTCTGGAAACGTTCTATCCTTCTTTAATCTTTTTATAAACAGTGTTAATTTTTGAAATGTTTTATGAAAGTATTTACTAAATGACGTCTAGAGAGTGACCGCACTAAAATTATTACCGATTGTCATTCCACAGCCGACTTTGACGCCGTTTTTTATCAATCATACGGTATTGTATCTCAATATGTTTATCTCCTGTTAGAAAACAACACTATTTATTAGAGTAATTTGTAATTTATATAAGTACAAGAAAAGTAGATAAAATAAAATGTTAATCATATCTTCGATTATTATGAGGCATGATAGTAATCGATTTGAAGATATTTTTAAAAATAAAATATCTCCAAATAACTGTCTTTGTTTATTAATAAGCCACTGCTGACAATTAGTCTCCGTTGGATTAACGTAGCAGCGTTTACAAAACATAACTGTTTTACTATTTTATTTTGTAAATTTTCTTACATTGGCGAAATACCCATAGGACTTTTTTGGAGATATTAATCCGCCACAGAAGTATAGACATTTTTTGATGTTCTTTAAACGAAATGACTATGAATTGTTTTCGCTGATATTTCCGATATAATTTCATATTATAAAATGAAAAAACAACTTTCATTTTATATGAAAATGGCATCGATTATCATTTTCAAGCCAACTGTAGTAGGCCGTTATTTTTTCGATCATACTATGTTATTATTCATTATTATATTCAAGTTAGTTCATATACGATTTCTACAATGCATTTTCTATAACTTGAAAGAAAGGCATTGTACTTTTTGAAACAATAAAGCACGAACTGTCACAATTTTACATAACTGTCCTGGAGATCTAATAAACTGGATTTATAATTCCGCAATGGCTCTATTGTAAAAAGAATTATTCATGAACGCGAAAATAAAGTCGTGCCTTTTAGCATAATCTTCTTGCAAATATTTTCAACGAAAGCCTTTTAACTAAATGAAATATTTTAAAAAATAAATTTACTTTAAAAAGTCCTCTTTCGAAACCGTAATATGGTTATATTATTTCGCCTTATTAAATTAAAAAAAAAAGAAATAAATACATTGCGGAAAAGCTACATTAATAATAAGAAAAACGTTACAGCATTAAATTTTAATATGCGGTTGTTTTGAAATGGAGGTATGTTTACCATAATAAATATTAATTATATTACTATATTATATATTTTATTGAATAAAATTAATTCATTTTTTATATCAAATGGTAAATAAAACATTTTATCATATAATACAGGGTGAGTTTCCTACGATGTTCTCTATGAGTATCTCGGAAACTACACTCTGAAGACAGAGAGTCGGTTAAATGGGGAAAAAATTGCAGTTTTGTGGGGTCATAAATAGGCGCCTTTCAAAAACCATTTTTTTAATTTGTCCCTAATTCCATTATAATCTATTTTAGACAAAAATTTGTCAGATAAAAGTTGTAGAAAATCACATCCGTAATGAGTTTGTGTTTTCCGATTTTTTCTAACGCCTGTTATTTTTGACATACGACACAAACATTTTTTTTAAATGGAAACCATAGTTGGCCATAACTTCATAAAAAGCGCCAATTTTTAAGCTTTTCAGCGATATAAGCTATAATATGTTATTTTCAAAATAAAATTGCTGAGTTATAGCCAATTCTTATCTTTCTTGACTAATTTCACTTAGTTAGCGTGGTGTTCTTATTTTATTATGATTTATAACTTATAATAAGACAAAATATATTATTAGATGGCTCTTTACAATTTACATTACACAAACTAAAACTGAAAAAAATAAT